TAGGAAAGTTCAAGTGAGCTAGTAGTTTTGCCCTAAAAGGAGTAAAGACTAACATTTTAGGTCAGCTGGATGGATATATACGATAATTATTTAGCACAAATAAATAACTTTCGTATTTGGGTAATTTTTAAGTTCTGCAAGTAAGTGTCTTAAATAAGTTAACATTTTAAACTTTCAACATGGATTAATGTCAAGATGAGGAAAATACAGGATGTACACACAAGAGATAGAACAAGAGTATAGTCACACAATCACTTGGGAAACTGATGTAGGAAAAACAGATCAAGGATAGGCTGGGGAATTTAATGAAACCCTATCTTAAAATTTTATTTACTTTAAAAAAAAAATGTATTTGGTGCAGGATCTCACTACACAGCTCAGACTCACAGTGATCCTCCTGTTTTTAGCCTCCCCAGCACTGGGATTACAGGTGTACACCACCGTGCCCACTCCTGGTAGCTGGCTCAGCATGCGGGGGGAGGGGGGTACAGTGGGACATGTAGTGTGGGGATCCAACCCCGGTCCCTGTGTTTGCCTAAGCAGGCGCTAAGCTACCTCGCCAGCTCGCCTCACTTAAAATTTTAAGAGGTCAGGGAACATAGTTCATCAGTAGAACACTTGCATAATATGCATGGTCAAGCCCTTGGGTTCAGTTCCCAGGTACCACAAAAACCAAAAACCAAAAGCACAGCAAACAAACCAAAAAAGTAAAAGATTCATCATTTGCTATCTAAAGGGAAGATTCACAAATTAATTTGCTGTTCTGGCAAAGTTATTAACTTGTCAGAGAAGAAACTTTTTCCAAGAATACAAAGACACAGTCTGAAGAAAATAGAGGGAGTTAAAATTTCTCTGACAGTCTGATTCTCAAACTCTGGCTCTTTAATTCTAGATCTCCTGAAGGTTTTTTTTTTTGGTTTTTTAACAGGATAGGCCTGACAATCCAAATGCATAAACCTGTATTTTCAGCATTACTTTAATAAACATTTTAAAATAAATATCCTTAAGAAAGTAATATTAACTTGGGAATACCCACCTTATTTAAAAATAAAATCATTTAATTTATACCTTCCTGCCTTAAGGAAGATTTGCAAGGCAAAACTGGTAATTTGTGATATAAAATAAAAAACATTCATTTCCACTACCACTGCTCAAATGCACATAATAAAAAGCCCATATTCTGGCTTCTTACATTTAGCTCAAAGAACAGAAAATTTATGTAATGTATACAGACCCAATCCACATCGATTCTGAAATAAACAAAAAATTTTTCCTAGTCAATGTACCTGATAAAAGCAACAGAGTATATTTGACTAATGATAATAACCTTACCTATCGGAGTCCAGAAAATACTAAGCAAAAATGTTATAAACCATGTGAGGACCTATTAGTTGTAAATTTCTTGAGTAAACATTTTATACATCTTTATATCCATCAGAATTTCTTGAACTGTGCTTTCAGAACACACGCTTTGGATCACCTTTTGGGACTCTAGATAACTAATTTAAAGGTTTATCAGGAGTCCTTGATTTCCAAAAGAATAAATACCAACATTTTTTTTAAAGCACCCATTTCTTATCACTTTTAAAGCAATAACGTACGAATAATAAAAAGAACTTACCAACTCTATCAGGGAGGACTTCGAGTGCAGAAACTCTTTCATCTTTATTAAGTTCTAGTCCATAAACACAGTCAAATCCATCGTATTTTATAAGATACAAAGAAGGATTTACGGGCACCTGGTCCAGGACAGTCCCCTTCCACTGGGTGACAGGGCCATTGCCCTCTCTCCACCCATGCTGGATCCTGCAGCCAACGATGTTCCGCCGGGGTTGGGACACAGGCTTGCTTGGCCCCACATTGCTCCGATGTTTTCTGTATTCACACACACAAGGTATTATTTCACAAGTATGTACACCTAGATCCAACACAACCACTGGCTAACATACCCTTTACAGACAATCCCAAGGAACATGCAAACTCCTGTGTGGCGTACTCCCACTTCAGGGGACTCAAGGTGCTCAGCTCCTACCCCCATCAATGGTGTTCACAGGTGAGGCCATGTCCAGCAACAAATATGTAACACGGTTCATTAGCAACAGGAGCTTGCTGGGTACCTGAACTGTGCACAGGCACAAAAAAAACACTCATCAACAGGAATGTAAGCCATACTCCCAAATACCAGTTTTTCAGTTTTCTCAGTTTTCCTTTAATTCAATTAACTAGGAATTGCCTGAGTTAAAGAAAAAAAGGTGATCAATAATAACTACACATGCACACACTTTATACAATGCTATGACTATTAATCCTAATATCTCAACCTCATTGGATTAAGAAACAGAAAATTAGTACAGCATACTTCTGGGTATATCTAGATGGGTCAATGGAGGCCTTGTCTCCTTGGTCTTGGGTAATGTATGCCCAAGAATTCCCTAAACATTCCTCTTTAGCACTGATCCTCTTGCTCTGCCTGGTCATTTTATCATCAGGTTGCCTTGGAGCTTGATGACCACATACTGAATCTCATGCAACTATATGCACTAAATTAAACCTTTTCTCTTTTTAAAAAGTTGGGGGTGTCAGGTATTGTGTCTCAGCAATAGGAGAACACAGAAAATTAGCACTATACAAGTGGGGGTCACTGCTATGGGACTGTACCTGATCCTGTGGTTTAAAAGCCTCTGGAATACTTTTCCTAGAGAAGTGAAGACAGTTTGAAGATTTAAACTAGAAGCATTAGATGGATTCTGATCAGAGCTTAAAAGACCAGAATGCTAACAGTAAAAGTCAGGTTCACGAAGTTCCTCGGGGAACAAGGATTCTACAGGCATTTAAATTAGAGGTGATACTCTGGCAGAAAATTCATCTATATTTTGCCCAGGTTCTAAGACTGCGAGGAGACCGATTTTAAGGGTGATGGACTAATCTGGTAGAAGAAATTTCAAGATAGGCTGTTGCATGGATACCCTTGGCTATTCTTAGTCAGATTTATATTAATTAGGAGCAAAAGACACAGGGAATTTTTTTGGAAAATCTGTTTGTTTTTTTGGTGGAACCGGGGATTGAACTCAGGCCCTTGTTGACCTATCTCCCCGGCCCTGGAAAATCTTAAATGATAGCCCACAGAGATCCATTTATACAGCTGGGGCCAAAGGAGGCATGGAAGTTAAAAAGATCAATACCACCAAAAACAAAGCAAATACTTTGTACAAGGACAAGAGAAAAGATGACTTGAGGCCATCTCAAGAATACACTAAACCCCATCCATGGCAGGCTGAAGGTTACAGAAGTATAAGACTTTCTCTTAAGACAATTGCTGGGGTGCTTGCTAGAGAAGGGGCTCCTATGGAATTGGTTTTCTAGGATTCATTTCACTCTGCTGGTCATCAAGGCACTCAGAGGTTGCTATGGCCAAGGGGACCTGGTAGTGTTTGAGCCGGTAGGTGACTGGCACTTCCCCTAAGATGCTAGTTTTATTGGCATACACAATATAACAGTTGTAGAGTTAAGAAAGTTCCCACCCAGATTTCAAAGGAAGGCCTGGAAGGCCAGGCAAGAAATACCCACGAGAGCAGTGCAAAAAGCTATGAGAATGATACTCCAGGAAATCAGAGGTGCTACTGCTGGGAAGGCTAGAAATTACAAACAAAGCCACTCCATGAGAGAGGTCATGTGGACTCCAACCACCAAGAACATAGGGCTAGGGCTGCCCATACTGTCTGGAACTCACATTGTGCCACGAGTCCCACGTGTCAGACACAGGGCAGCAGGGACTGTTCAGCTTGCTAGGTTTTAATCTTATTTCAATTCTGATTCTTTTCTGCTGCTCTTTCATAATGGCAGTGCTTATCCTATATATTGAACGTTGGGATTATACAGCTTACTCTTTATTTTTACAGAGGGTCACAGCTAAGACTTTATATTAAGCTGGACTTGAAAAATACTGGAACTATTGAGACTTTAGGGAAGAGACTATCGAGCTTCTGGCTATAAATGGGGTAGCTGTGATGTTAGATGAAATTACGAACTTGCTATTATCTTTAGGGATAAAGTATGGTTTAAGGCGATGTGTCTGGATGTGCAGTTGATAAGGGGTAGAGTGACTATTAGTCCTGATATGCCAATGTCACTGGATTAGGAAATATGTAGCAAATTAGGAAAGACACTCCTGTGGGAAGGCTGGTCATAGAGGAGTGGTCTTGAGTACCACATACCCAAATGTATTGCCCATTTCTTAGGTGTGGTTCCCCTGGCTCCAATGCCCACCACCATGAACTAATAAGCAGTGTTACTCTGCCTTGTCCTACACCATGGTTTCTGCTTTGGAGTGGGACGATCATCTAAATCTTTAGACTCTTCTAAAGCCATGAACCAAATTAAGCCTCCCCGCTATCAGGTATTGTGTCTCAGGGATAGGAAAGCAAACTAACACAGATAATTATTCAATCCTAAAAGAAATGTACAACTATTCCTTCTCAACTAGTACAACGGCCTAAAAATTCTCTTCTTGATTTATACAATGTGAATAAACTAGACTTTCACCTTTTACTAAAACTAGAGTTCAAGTTGACTTGTAACAATGTGATACCAGCATTACTTCTCTAAAACACATAATCTTACACAACTTATGACAAATATTTAATGAAGTACTACAAATTATTTGAAAGCTCCAACTACATTATTTCTTGAATATGAGCAACTGAAAAACTTATACATAATGTTTATAAACAATACATCAGCTCTTGACATCAGGGAAAAAAAACTTCATTTCACCTTGAAATCCAGAGATAAAGGATAACACTTGGCCTATACACAAACCGAAGGCCAAAACCAATCTGACAGATGCTGATATGTGCCAAGAGTAGAAAATGACTCAAGCAGACACAAATGCCATTCTCAGTTTTATGGATAAGATACTCTTGTTTGGTACACCATGAACACTATTTAACACCTGACATGCAACACAAATGAGTGGTTTTTTTTCCACTCCCCTCACCCCCCTGAACCGGGGATTGAACTCAGGCCCTTGCGCTTGCCAAGGAAGCGCATATTCCACTGAGCCATCTCCCTGGCCCCACAAATGAGTTTTTAAAAAACAATTTATCATAGGTTATAATATTTAACTATATATATTCTAAGTAGGAATAGTTTATTCTGGACCAATTACATAAATTCAGACAAATTAGGTATCTTGGAGGGATGGTAAAGGGGACTTCCTACAGATGTGGGGGGGGCATTAAAGCTAACAGGAAGTACTCATCCAGGAGGGAGCCTAGGATGGGTTAAGTGCAGGACTGTTAGGCCAGAAAACCATGCTGCTGCTTCTGCCCTCAGGGCACCAACTGAGAATAAAATCTTGAGCATAGTAGGAGTAGAAGGCAGAGGAAAGGAGGGGAAGTCCCAAAAAGCAAGTCTCAGAAAGGTGACAGAAATAGCTACTGGAGGGACTTCAGATGTCACAAGAAAACAACAGAGATCCTGGGATTGCTCCCATTCCCATGTAGATTAGCAGACTGAGGTGATGTACAGTAACAATGAACATTTAAATAGCTCTCAGGCAGCAGCCTCCAACCCACATGAACCAACTCCACATAACAAATCTCTTTTGTATTTATCTTCCTCTAGTGTTGTTTAGCTGGAAAACCCAAATATAGGAACATATACCAAAAATAGAAAAGTGTAGTAATAACATAGGTAAGACAAGTGAGAAAAGTCAAACAAGGCAAAGAAACAACTAGCAATCTGGGGAAAAACAGAGAAGAAATTAAATAAGAAGACTAAATAGAGGAACAAGAGAAAAATGACATGTGAGAAAAGTCAAACAAGGTAAAGAAACAACTAGCAATCTGGGGAAAAACAGAAAAGAGATTAAATAAGACGACTGAATAGAGGAACAAGAGAAAAATGACACCAAGGGAGCTTAAAAAGGAGGATGATGAAAAGAATACAGATGAAGCAAAAATGAATAGAGATGGTGACAGATAGAACATCTATATAATAGAACCTAAAATTAAAGAAATGGGGAAAAATACTAAAAATTGTAATTAAAAAAAAAAAAAAGATTCGTGGGCTAGAGAGATAGTTCAGCAGCATAAGCACCTGCCTGGCAAGCACAAGGTCCTGAGTCCGATCCCAGGTACCCCCCCCCCAAAAAAAAAAAAAAAATCCTACAATGAAACCAACAAATGCACCTACTAGGAAATCTAACCTAGAGTGATTGGTGCTAAGTCACATCTTCAATAAATGGATTTTAAAGGAAGTAGCACACTTTGGGCCTTCAAGCAAAAACAACAAATCATGTATAAAGAAAATCAGATTTTGGCAGCAACAATTTATGTCAGAAGATAATGGAGTAACAAGCTTAATGTTCTCAGGGGAAGAAAATGTAATCCAAGGATTTTATAATCAGCTACAAATTGTACATTGACCTCCAGGTATAAAGGTCCCAGATAAAACTTACAAATGTGTAAAAACACAAGGAATGCTGTTCTCACGAATGCCTCCTGAGGAAGCTATAAGCCCACATGCTTCAAACAATCAAGGGCTCATACAGAGGCTTCAGCACAGGACAGAGAGACACAACACATACACTTAATTATAGAACAAATGGTGGGGACAAGAGAACAAGAACACAGTTGCCACTCAATGCAGGAGCAGTAACTGGTGCCAACCCCTAAGCACACTCAAAATGACAAGCAGCCTGCTGTTGGCCGGAAGCCTTACCAACATACATAGTCAATTAAGTTTTATGTATATATTCTACATAATAGAAGACACACAAACCACGAGGGGTTTCTTTTATAGACACCCCTTACTTATTACAGTGCTCACAGGGAGAACTGGCATGGCCCCGGGATCTGAGTGTTGCTCACAAC